GCTCAGAATTAATTCTCACTAAAGTGTTTTTATTTGTTTGGCCATGGAAAAACTGTTCTGAACAGGGAAGGTATTTGGGGATAATCTGGCCCCCCCCCCCCCCCACCTAGTAACCGGAAAGTGGACTTTTAATCTGGGATAGATAATCATTTGCAGGGCAAGAAGTACTGGCTCCCCACCTTCATCCATGCCCTACGGTGGCATTTTGCTCAGATCCCTACTACACCCTCACCCATCAAAGCAGAGACCCCAAGAGGCTTTAAGCCCAGAAAGAAAGAATTTTTTATGGTGGCATCTTTTTACTGTTGCAAAACTCTACACTCTACTTGTTTAATGGGCAGCCATTCCAGCTGGGACATGTCACCCTCATACATAAAGGGTACGAGCAAGCCAAAGGAGGTTTCCCAAAGAATCTGAGATCACTGATCGGCAGATCAGTCCCACCACCTGTTAATTTGAGTGGATGTGTGGAACTCTCCTCCTTGTGGCGCCCACTTAGGGTCAACATCGAAGCTCCTAGGAGCTACGGGTGAAGCTAGATTTGAGCTGGAGAGCCCCCCTCACCTGGACCCGAGCAGGTACATGCACTTACAATGACACAGTTCTTGCCAATGTGGACATAGGAGCCGATCTGAGCCGCATTGACAACACAGTCCTCCTCGATGAAGACATGATCTCCGATGTGCAGAGGGAAGAAAGCAACCCTGCAAAAAGAGAGGACAGAGCTTCGCCACCAGCATCCCTTCCATGCTCGGGGCTGAGCAAAAGGAGGCCATAATGCTTGCGCCTGGCCTGCGGTTCTGTCGCCCAGATGGAGGGACAGAATTTAAGAATTCCCAGGCCCCGGCGACCCCGACTGATGCCAATAGCCAGCAGAGCTCTCGCTGATTCCTTTTCACCCACCCACCCCTCCCTCAGTGGCAGCCAAGGCAAAAAAGAAGCGAAAGGAGATGAGAGACCCCGACTGGTGATCCCCAAGATCTAGGACTAGCGGACCGGCTCCTTCCTACTGGGCGTTTTTTATTTTTATTATTAAAGCATTTAAGCATATTAATTTTGATGTAAACATTTTTTGATAAGGGAGTTAAATATTGTTTTTGGAGTTACATACAATGCCATAATCAAGAATATCTGTGATGACCAGTTTAAAATCTGTATCATTTAACGTCAGCAGTAACAATCCAGTAATCAAGGGCTGTTGCATACTGTACGCAGGAAAAGGAAATATTATTTGTTGTGATATTTCTAGAAGCAAAACTTTATTGAAAGATTTGTGGTTAAGAGATCAGTCTTCAGTTGCTGGGTCAAAACTAGAAGCTATTCTTATTTCATAAAAATGTCAGATTACAGGCACAAACGTTCATGGAGATTTATTAAGGGCATAACAGAAAATACAGCAAGCAGTGACATTTACCAGGACCTGCAATAAGAAACATGAGTAAACGCAGATTCTTTTCAAATTAACAGGAGCACAAGGCAAGGATTCCCCCTTTCACCTAACTTATTTATTTTAATTATTGAGATATTAGGAATATTTAGGGTCTGACCTGAGTAATTAATTTATTTCAGAGCTTATATGGTATTTTTTCTTAAAAACCTGAGTAAAGATATAGTTCAACTGCAAGCTGAACTGAATAAATCGGAAGCAACTTTTTAAAATAATAATAAAAGAATCTTTCTTGATTTAATAGGTTTTTATATCAGCAAAAACAGTTTTAAGATTTAGTTTTTCAATTGGATAAATAATGGAACTCTTTATGGCATAAAATCTTGTTTAAATCCATTTCAGCAAATCATCCAGAAATGACAACAAACATAGCCCATTGGTAGCATTTTACTGCATAAAGACTAAGGTCAAACTTTCGAGATTGCATTGGCAAGGATATAAACAAATTTATCTCAGATGACAATGCGCAATTAGGCAAAGTTTTTGATAAGATTCTCGCAGCCACCTTTGAAAATGGAATCCCACAGCAGGATTATTGCCAAAATTCCTTACAAAATATTAAAAAAAAAAGTCGTCTAGAAATCGATCCAATTTCCACTGTTAGCAGCCAGATTGGCTATGGCAAAACACTGGAGAACAAAAGCCAGCCGTTGGCATCGTTCTCAAAACCGCCCCGGCAGAAAGACGGCCGGGAACTGCGGCCGGGCAGAACGCGGCAGCCAGGGCATCGCCAGGCCAGGCCAGGCCAGGCCAG